ATTTTTCTCTGACGTCAGACTCCGTGTTTTCCATATGACTCCGTGTTTTCCATATTTTTATGACGTCAGACTCCGTGTTTTCCATATGACTCCGTGTTTTCCATATTTTTATGACGTCAGACTCCGACTCCGGGACTCCGGGACTCCGGGGCTCCGGGACTCCACTCCGTGTTTTCCATCTAACCCTTTCGGACTGGTTGTATTATTTTGGGGAAAAAACCCTCTTATGCGGCACCTTTTATTATTTATGCTGTCTATAAATGCCACAAGATTTTACTCGTCAAGTGGAGAAAATGCCTGTGCAGCAACCACTACATTTATGTTACAGGTAATGATGAACCCATTTTATCAACATAACACCAAGATCCAACTTCCTGTTTTTGATAAGAAAGTAATGGTAGCAGGAAGAAAACACTTGCTGAATTAAATAAACATTAAAGAACTATAGAAATAAAATAAGAAAGCTAGAATCAGTTTGACCTTTCTGAAGTGTTGAGTAAGTTATTTTACACTTTTGCGATTGGTCTGCCTTACCTTAGTTTGAGTAAGTAAGATAAGTAAGAAAACGTCATAAGATAAGTAAGAAAACGTCATACGATAAGTAAGAAAACGTCATAAGATAAGTAAGAAAACGTCATAAATAAGTAAGAAAACGTCATACGATAAGTAAGAAAACGTCATATTAAAGATAAGTAAGAAAACGTCATAAGATAAGTAAGAAAATGTCGTAAGCAGAGTAATCGGCCAACACTGCATGCATGTAATGTATATGATTTTTCTGTTTTTAAATTCATTCATGAATACGTATTTGATTATACCTCCCATGCATTGACACATTGTATTTTAGTAGGCATGTCAAGTTTTACACAATGCTTGTGGTGTCATATATTTTTCTCAGATTGCATAAATTCTTTGGAATTGAAGTCGTAATAAGATTTTAGTCGCCTCCAACGATGATTTTGGTAATCACTGCCTGATCATTGAACACCGCTGTTACTTTCAAGGCATATTCCTTCCTCTCGTTCGAAAAATCGTGTCTTATTTTCGAAATCGTGTCTTATTTTCGTGTTAAAACATTCAGGAATGCGACTTCTAAAATGTAAAATTATTAATAGCTAATGTTTAACAATTTCCCGCAGACTAGTCATATGTTGTTGATTTCACGACGTCATGGATGTACCCGCATTACTGAATGTTTTGAAACGAAAACTTGAACTTTTGGGTGAGAGGAAGGACCGCGGTTTTCCCTTTTGATAATTATAGTAACTTAAATCCTTTCCTCATTTGAAACAAACACTGTTCAATGTTAATTACAGGTTTACTACAAGCAGAAATACAAATTGGAATTCCCAAGTTATAGTCATGTTGTCACCGACTCCCCCCTCTAATATTCCAGACAATGTATTGTAGTGAACAAAAGCCCCCCTTGTTAACGTTCCAGAACTGTACCCCTCGTTTAGTTAGTGTATTTATTTTGTACAGCATACAGCATAGAACATTTTACAAATTCCAACTAGTTTGAAATATGTTTTGTGTTATTGCCGTGCTGTCATGTACTTCATAATCCATCCTACATATATTTAGCACTTAATAATATACATAAAGATATTACTCGACTGTGATTGGTTGATTTTAGTGCAGTTAATCCCAAACAGCAGTGCAATTTTCTGTAATCACAGTGCAATTTTCTGTAATCACAGTGCAATTTTTTGTAATCATACAGTGCAATTTTCTGTAATCACAGTGCAAAAATCTGTAACAAACTGATCTGATTGGTGGAAAAACATCGTGATGATTAAATCAACCAATCAGTTTAAGGTGGCTCCCTAGGGTTTTTTAATTTACTACACGACAGTATTCAGGAGACTCCTGTTTCTTTACTTTACATGATATGAAGACGAAATTTATTGGACACATTGACAATGTTCTCCTGAACATTGCAAATTGCTACTTTTGTGTTAAAAATATGTTGTCATGGCAACAGCATGCTTAGAATAAAG